GCACCCCAAGGGCCCCTGGGCAGCGGCTCCGCTGGCCCGGTCCGTAATCCGTCCCTGACTATAATGACAAGTGAGTACACTAAAGTGTAGGGGTGGAAATTGGCATAGATTTCCCAAATTGATATTTTATGTATCATGATTTTTTTAAACAGTTCTTGCTGAACAGCAATTCAGGTCTACATTCAAAGTAAAGGCAATGGCTGTAATGTACACATATTTGTCATGCATCGTTCAGTTACATCATTTTCAGTTTGCATAAATAAACGAATGAACAAGTTTCTTGACACGGGCAAAACCTAAATTCACAAGTAGATCTTCAACACGGAATACATTATGGTAACTGTGGCTGTGACTTGGTTACAGCAAATGCTGGATCGCTCAAAGACCTTCCCACATCCTTAAATCAGCAGTTTGGGAACATTTTGGTTTTCCAAAAAAATTACACCAACCCTGGAGAGAGAGAGTTGTTGATAAGACCAAGACTGTCGGTTGGCTGTGTTACACCAAACTTGAATATGTCCCTGGAAACACACCCAGTGTGCTAACTCATCATCTGAGACGACATCATCTGACCAGAGACAAGCATAAACAGCCTCTGAAAGATAGCCTGTCCATGACATATTTTTATTTTCATATTTATTTTTACTGTGCAAAGGAGTATTTCTTAGGTTTTGTTATTCAGACATATTGACAGACACATTTTCTTGTGATTGGTTTCAGGATGTTCCTATATTGTTTTTGCAGTTTTATAATAAAAACAAATGTGATCAACATAATTACATACTTTACATAATAACCTACAAGTAAACTGGTATTCAGAATAGATTTTGAAATTTTGTGGCAAATTGAAACATTTCCAAAAATAATGATTTGTAACTGAAACAATTTTCCCCCACACTCCTAGTAAGGTGTGTATAATTGTACTATAATGTTAAAGTATGTATTATTGCCTTCTAATAATGGACCTTTAATGATGGATGACTAGGGATAGATGTATGTTGCTGTTCCCTAATGATGAGTGAGTATGGTAAGATGCAGCGCGTCCTGATTTTCCCAAGTCCAACATGTCCCTGGGTCAACAACCCTTACGAAAATTAACCATGGTTTTACTTTAATTAAATAACCATTGTTTACAATGGTTTGCCGTTTTTCATGTTTTTTTTGGGTAACTGGAAACCATGACTATGGTTTTATCATGGTTTCACTACAGATAAACCCTAGTATAATCTTGGTCATAAACCATGGTTTTTGTTTTACCATGGTCTTTACCATGAAAACTATGGCAGTACCACAGCTACCATGAAGTGTATGGATAAACCATGGTAGTACTATGGGTAGTACCAAAGTACCATGAGGTACCATAGTAAAACTATGGTTACTGCATAAAAACCATAGGAAACCATAGTGAATCTTCATAAGGGAAGGGAGGGGCTTTCACTTTTTTAACCAATCAGTCTCCTATGTATGACATCACCACATTAATTAAAATCAGTGTTTTCTGTTAAGTGGCAAGGTGCACAGATTTCTAAAGTACCCGTTTTATTGTGTCTGCCTTTTGCTAATGGACATGCTTACTTGCAAAAGCTGTACCAAGCAATATATGGGTGTGTCTAAAATTCTTGGTGATGATGATGATGATCTAGGGGTTAAAGTCCTTGCTCATGTGGTTATTCTGCTGAAGCCAGGATTTGAAAATGAGAAAAAAAACGGCCCAATGTGTTGCTCTCGTACAATGAAGATTGTGTTTCGTCAAAGAAATGAAACGCAAGCCCCTCTCTTGTTGACCCACGGACACTGAACTGAATAATCAGGATGTCCCTAAGGTATGTTACTCGTGTGTTAGGCCTACTTTGTCCCTCCAGGATTTCGCATTTCTGTGGTAGCTGAAATTAACGCAAAATCAAGCAAACTCCACAATATTTGCAAAAGTTTGTGATTTTTCAAATTCACTTTGCCGCCATAAATGACCAGCTCAGCAGACTGCGTGCATTTGGTGAATGACAGGTGACTCCATCGCAGTACACATTTGTGTTTTTTTGCTAGGCGGTTCTGCATGTAAGATGACCACAGTGAACAGCTCTCATTTACTAGCAAAAATTACTGCCAAAGACCGGTCAAAATATTCAGGAATTGGAGGCAAAGTGTTTTGCATACCTTACAACATTGTGGTAAAACGCAAGTCTGGACAATCATTTTTCTGCCACAAAGCATAAAAAATGGCTACAAAGGCACTTTGGAAATGGAACTATGGACTTTTTTTTATTAATATATATATTTAATATATAAAGTCAGTCCTGCTACAACATGTGATATCACATTGTGAATCTGTTCTAACGCACTAAATGAGCAACGATGCCATATGAACTTAGCAAGAAACACTACTTGCACACAAAAACAGCTACCGATGTGAACTAATTGTTTTTTAACCAATTCTGTTTAATGAATCGGCCGAACTGGTTTCAAAATCTAAAAGAATCAAACTTTTTCTATGTCTACGCATTGCACAGGTCAAAATCTTAGATTCTAAAAATCAAAAAATATTTAACAAATTATCATATAAAAACGCACGGCAACCTTTTAAAATGCATTTACATTTGCTTTTCATAGACTTTCTGTAGCCATGTTGTCTTCATTGCCCCTCCGCATACCGTAATCCATTGTCTTTGTGCTCTGTCATTGTCTGTCCGCATGGTGGCTCTGGATCACCATTCTGGACTCTCAGCAATCGACAAGTTAGTGAGTTCAGCACGTTGGAAACGGGTACTAGGCAATTCATGTGAGACTCATAAGACCCATAGAAGGTGTTTGTATTATAATGTATTAATGTATTATTAGGGTGGGATGGTGCAGCAGTGGTTAGCACTGTTGCTTCACAGCAGGAAGGTCCTGGGTTCAGTCCCGGGTTCTCCCCATTTTCCCCGGGGGCTCCGGTTTCCTCCAACAGTCCAAAAACATGCAGGATAGGTTGATTGGTGAGTCTAAATTGGCCCTGTAGTTGTGTGAGTGTGTGTGTGGCTGTGTGAGTGTGTGTATGGCTGTGTGAGTGAGTGTGTGTGGCTGTGTGAGTGTGTGCGCCCTGTGGTGTGTTGGCGCCTGCCCAGGGTTGGGTCCCACCTGTGCCCTTTGTTCCCGGGATAGGGTCTGGTAACCCCCCGTGACCCCAGTTGGGATCAAGTGGTTTCAGAAGATGGATGGATATATTATTATTATTTATTTAAAATGCATATAGTTACATTATTTGCCACTGGTATTACTGTTATTATTGTTTACTTCATTTTGTTTGGCATTGGTTACTCATTTTTGGAGTTACATTCCCCTAACCTTATTGGATATGTGTATTTTATTACGCGATTTTAGTGAAGGTGAGGTTATTTTGGAAGGCAGCAGTCACATTGTAGCAGGACTGACCATACGTCGCTTTTTCACCACTAGTAGTTCTAAGCAAATTTCCTAGCGTGCAATTTTGCCAATTTCTGCAAATTCTCCCCAAAAAAGCACTGTGTTGCATGTCAAATTTTGAGAAAGGCTGCTGCAAAATCAAGCATTTTCGGTTGCTACAGTCACAAAAAAACACTGCAGAATCCCATAGGGACTGGGACTGTTCTCTAATGTTGGCCGAGTCAGGTAAGATGTGCGTTACTGGGCTGGTGAATCCTACAGGGCGACATTGGTGTCTAGTGCGGCAACATCTGAGGGGGTGCCACCTCGCCAGCCAATTTTACGTTGCCACGGACAGGGGGGGCGCAGGCAGTGAGGGCCACCTAGGGTGCCACATCCGCTAAGACCGATACTGGTTACAGACCTCTAATGATGGGCAAGCAGGGCAAAATGCATATTGCTATCCTATTACCATTACTAGGCGAGTAGGATGTGTGTTACTGAGTAAGGTAAAGTGTATATTATTGTTCTCTAATGGTAGGCGTGTGTAGGTAAGGATAATATCAGTATTATTTCATGACAGGTGCAGAATAGGGACTGTACGACTATCTTATAATGACAGATGAATTGTATAGTGTGTGGCAGTGAATCATTTGTAACATGTATCAGTTTACCTCAGTTTGTTTTTTCTAGACACTTGTCAGCTTTCTGTCTGATGTCCTCCTCTCTTGTTCCTCAGGTACAGCAGACAGATTGGGGCGTCCTCTCATCATCATGCAGGTCCCAAACGATGGCCACAGCGAGGAGGAGCTATCCCGCATCCTCTCCTGCTATCATGCCATTACTCGGTAATCTCCTCTGTACAGGAATGTCACATGACCACTGCCCCATTGTGACACATGCCACTTGATGCTCATTATACTGTATAAGCCTAGATCCTGTGACTCATACTCTTGTCATGCACAGTACAATCATGTATTGTTACATAACAACACAGCATCGTCATGTATAACGTAGACATGATTGCTGCATAATTACATGGTGCTATATAGTTTAGTACATGCACGTGCTCCCTCACAGAAACACAGTGCCGTCATAGTTACCATGGTGATATGCGTCAGAGCCACTTCCTCCTAGGGATGCATATTTCAGGCAGAAATGCTAGTCAGAATTTGCTAATCATTGTTCAAATAATATTCTATTAACTCCACACCCACCACACACACACAGGGAATCGTGATAATGATCAAAATATTTATTAATTTCCACACAAAATGAGATTGCTCATTGCTATAAAGGGATAACATAAAACATTAAAAGGTAGTTTGAATAAATTAAACCGAACGGATAGCTCATGTGCAATAGCATGCAGTTATGTCTAACAGCCTGTGCCTTGGGCAGTTATTTCTTTAGTTTTAGCAACGCAATTCTAACAATAATTCTCTGACTTCATTCATTTATTTCCATACAAAACTTTGCTGCAAAAGGATATCGTAAAGGATAGCCCGAGCCCTAATCCTAGCCTTGAAACTACAGTTAAACGATATTGAAAAAACTCACATTGCGATATTTGAAGATACTTGTAATAAGCATTGTGATATTTATAAAACAAAGAAAAAGGTGAAAAATAACCAAAATAAACTATAGCTTCATAGAGCTTGTTATTATCTGTCAGTAGAGTCGTCTTTATTGGTAAAGGCGAAGCTGCCAGAAAATCTCTACTTGTACACTGACAATACACTCATTTAAAATGTTATTCAGAGCTAATTTCACAGAACATGAATTTTAAGGACATTTTGAATGACAACCATGACAACCTAAACATACATATAATATTAACAGCAGCTGCATAATCAGAGTCACTTACACTTGTTGCTGTGTCGACAAATGACTTTCTTCTGCTGCCATCTCTGTGAAATCCAAAATATTTCAAACAGCAGAAGACAAGTGTCCTTTAGTGGCCAGTTCTTGTTCTGCTTGTCTGCCTTGTTTATCGTAAATTTCTCACTCTACTATGAGTGAGCAAGTATGAAAATGGTTATGATTGGCTCAGTGAGCCCATACAGAAAAAATAAACTATAAACGTAACTGAGAATGGATAAATCACAACTGAGTGTGTCACTGAGTGTGGACAGCAGTCACTGAGTGTGGACAGCAGTCTCTGAGTGTGGACAGCAGTCTCTGAGTGTGGACAGCAGTCTCTGAGTGCTGTCCAGTTGGGTCCAGCAGTCAGACAGACAGTGGGACATGTCCCGCAGACGCTCCCTAACGGGTGGCAGGCGCTCCAGGACCGTGCCAAGTCCTGCCCACTCCAGCTCTGCCCGACTCTCCAGTTCTCCCAGTACAGAATGGGTTTCTCTTTGTAGCTCCTACAGACACACAGTGTACAGTAATTAAACATAAACATATCTACACACATCATCCAGTGTATACATATAGAGCTTGTTATTATCTTCCAGTAGAGTCTTTACTGGGAAAAGGAAAATTTGTAGTTCATATTCTAGTTAACCCACCAGAAAGTCTCTACTGCAGTGGTGGCCAATCGTATCCACAAAGGGCTGGTGTGTGTGCAAGATTTTGGGATAACCGATAGGTCAGCTGTTCAAACCCATCAGCCAATCAGCCCTCTAATTAGTAATCTAATTAGGAAGTTGCAGCAAAAACCCGCACACACACCGGCCCTCTCTTGATAGGATTGCTCACCCCTGCCCTACTGGTACACTGACAAATGCACTCATTTAAAATTTTATTAAGAACTAATTTCACAGAACATGAATTTCAAGAACATTTTTAATGACAACCATGACATAATAAATGAATTCAATAATAATATTAATAATATCTACAATAAATAATATTCAAAATCATTTACAAAATGTTTCATAATAATTGACAATGTTGACTTATCTCTACTTCCTTCCTGTGTCATCTTTGCTCCCTTTCTCTCTCTGACTCTTTCTTGCTGTCCCTCCCTCTTCCCTCCCTCTTCCACCCCCCAGCCTCTGGGCTCAGGAGAAAGGACTGACTGTGGTAGTAGACAGCAGAGTCTCCACCCCCAATGCTCTGTGTCTGGCAGCTCTGCAGCGCTTCCAGGTGAGAACCCCCACCACAGATTAACCTTAGCCTGCTTTCTGTGTGCTTTCGCTGGAGCTCTGTCCTCATGAACGGTAAGAAAAATTTGCCATGTCGGCATTACAGTAGTGAGGCAAGGACTGCAGGATTAGAACAGTGCATATACTGGAGGCTCAGGCAGGTAAAGAGGTTTTAAGAACATGTGCAATGCCTGTCTGCATAGGGTCTTTGTGCTCCCAGTCTCCGTACCTGTATTCGTGGGAAAGTGCGTTACTGTGTTAGATTTCCATTGCATGTGTGCATGATGCAGCTGCGTCGTGCCTTTGGCTGTGTGTGCGTGTGTGTGAGACACTGTTTATTATGTTTATATTACATTGTAGGGACCATTTTTCAGGTCCCCACTAAGATCTGTGAATGCAATCAAAAAGTAAAAATGCCAAAAGTCTTGTATTTTGTTTGGTTACTTATGGTTAAGGTTAGGGCTGGGTAGGGGTTAACATTGTCATTGTTAGGATTAGGGTTTCCCCTTAGAAAAGAATGGAGAGTCCCCACAAAGATATAATTACAAACCTGTGCATGTGTGAGTGTATGTGTGTGACTGTGTATGTGTGTGTATATATATCCATATATATATATATGTGTGTGTGTGTGTAACATATATAATGCAGTATGTGTGTACGCATCTCTCTTTATGACCTCAAAATAAAATACTGATGGAAATATGTTCACTGGTTGTTATTGAATGAGGGTGTGCATGTTATCTTGCATTTTATATTTTACATTTTACAAGTTGTCTGCTTTATGTGTTATATTTTATACGTATAGGACCTGGTACCAGGGGGCCTGGGATGCAAACTGGTTCTGACAGATGAGAATCAGGAGTCTAGTCTCCCGCACATCGAGGGTGTTGAGGTACATCTCTCAAACACAGTATCCTTGATCCTGAAGATGATATTGACAGAAAACCTAAAATGATTTTCATAACATTTTCTATGAATGCATTTTCTATAAGAATCTATGAACACATTCATACGACATTATAATGCATTCATAAAGCATTATATGCATGGCTATAAATATAATGCTCTACAGCAGTGCAAAGCTTCTTTAATTCTTATTCTGACCATTATAACTCATTTTGATGGTATCTATGTAAAATGCGTTATAGATGAGAGCTTCATTGGAGCTTATGAAGTATTATAATCAGCACTCTAATGTCTTGTGACTGTCAATAGAAGATGCTATAATGTTTTATTAATTATTACACTGACCATTATAATGCATTATGAAGGTATCTATAATGCATTATAGTTGTCAACTTGAAGTTAAGTGTTACCATGATTGTTTCTAAACAAACAGCTGAGCGGTATTTCTGTCTTTGCACTGCCGGCCCCCCTCCCCCCACCAGGTACACATTGTCAGGGGGTTGGGGATCCTGCAGCAGCATGTGGATCGGCAGCAGCTCCCCGTTGCTCTGGGTGGAGACTTTCCGCACTCCCATTCGGAATGGCTGGCCTACAGACTGGTGAGCAGGGCCCTCAGTGACGTTTAACCCCTAGGGACTGGATCCATATTCTAATGTACTGTACTCATGGACATTGTCTTACGTCATCCATCCACCTTCTCACCCCTGATTGTGGTCAGGCTCATAAAGGGACATGGAGTCCCCCCCTGGGGTAATCCAGGCCATTGTAGGCCGCGTACATGTGTGCGCTCACCCACCGTGGGCAATTTAATGACAACAGCTGGCCTAACTGCATGTCTTGGATTGCAGGAGGAAACTGGAGTACACAGGAAGAACACATAAACTCCACACATGCAGAGTCTTGAATTTTATTTTAGTGACAGACTTCACTAGGAATTGCTTTTGCATACCATTCACACATGTGCTCACTTTTGAATTTTGAACCCCAGCAGATGGTCTGAGCTCAATTACCAACCTTAGGGGTTTTTCCCTCAGAGTTTGGAGCGTTTGACTGAATGGTGCAGGAGCGCCCTCTCTCTGTTGGGGCAAGCGTTGCACTCTCTGGATACTGAGCCTTTGCCGCAGTGCACGAAGGTATTGTAAGCGGTGCTTGTCTTTCCTTAATTGACCTACTACCCAGTTTTACAACACCCAGAAAATGACCAGGCAGATTAATAATTTGGTTTGGTTGGTGGGCACATTACTGCCCCCTTGTGTCTCCTTTTGTAAAGTCACTTCAAGTTCATGTGCCTGAAAATTAATCAGCGAAACATGGTACAAGTACAAGTAAAACCTGTATTTTTTATCCAGATTGATTAAAAATTATATGGATAATTCTGTCAATCAGCCATAGATTTGATTCTCTAGTATAGTCCAGCAAAGTCCTTGATTTAATGAATTAATTCTGGAGTGGCTGCCACATTTCAGGTTTACCAAATGGGTAATTTATTTGCAGTACAACTCTACCGACGTGATTATGCATCATGCTCTATCTGCTCTCTATCAGATGGTATCGGTCTGTGTGGAGAAACACAAAAAGCTCATGATGGATGTCCTGGCTGACCAAAGGTTGACTGAGCTGCAGCAAGTGGGCGGAGCTTGGTTGGCAGGACTGACCAATCGTGGGTCTGGGCCAGCACAGAGATCAACTGACTGCAGGTATTTGGGGTGACACTCATTAAGGATCCCTCCCTGACCACATGATACAATGGGAAGCACACAAAAAGGTTGCTAATAACTGCGACCTGAAGTACTAGTGTGAGCTTAAAGTAGGATTAACATGTTAGAATGTTCATTCAGAACCATGCATTCCACAGCTGTAGGAGGGGCTTAGTCATGGCCTGAAGAAGCCCTACTGTTGGAGTTTCCTATTGAAGTATGGGGGGGGGGCTGTGCAGCCAAATTCAATGGGAAAAATGTCCTTCCTTTCCTTTCCTCCCCCTCTTCTGTCTCGCTCTTTCCCTGCTTCTCTTGCTGTGGCTTCTTCCAATATCCACATACATTCCCTGCTTCTCTTTCCTTTCTGTTGCTGCCATTTTCATTCCCTCGGCACCCAGGGCCGCCCTCGCTGCAACCACTGAGCTCTACAACAGTGTGGACGACTCTCTACACCGACTGGTCCGTGTGTCCAATGAGAGGGGCCGTGACCTGGATGCCCTCAGGAAGCTGGTAGCACTTGAGGAAAGACTGAACAAGGTCAGCAGGGGGGGGGGCATGGAAATATTTCCATTCTGTTTGTAATGATATAAACCACCTCATCCAACTCCTCCTTCCCCTCCTCCACTACTCAGTGTGAGAAGGAACTCGAGCAAGTACAGGAGCAGCTGGAGGAGTTCAAGGACACCCCTCTCTCTCTCTCCATGCTGTCCCTCAAACAGCAGAAGTTCAAGGCCTTCAGAGAGTCAGCTATGGTGAGTGTGGGGTAATCAGTATCTATATATGTCCTGGTGTGGGGCAGAATCGGGTGAAGATGTTCCCAAAGCTTGATAGGACCTGTCCAGACCCCTGTACCCAATCCCGCACCAAACTGTACCCTTTCCTTCCACTCAACACCAGTTGTGTTTTCCTGTGTCTTTCTCTTGTGCTGAAGCCGATGTGTCTGTGTTGTATGTTGTATCACCACCACCCCCTCCCCCCCCCCACACACACACACTTCGTTAATCTCCCATACCCAAATAAGGCGCTTTGAGCAAGTCTTATATATGTGTGTATATGTTTGCCATATGTGTATATGTATACACTGCATGACGTGTGTAGATATGTTTATGTTTAATTACTGCACACTGTGTGTCTGTAGGAGCTACAAAGAGAAACCCATTCTGTACTGGGAGAACTGGAGAGTTGGGCAGAGCTGGAGTGGGCAGGACTTGGCATGGTCCTGGAGCGCCTGCCACCCGTTAGGGAGCGTCTGCGGGACATGTCCCACTGTCTGTCTGACTGCTGGACCCAACTGGACAGCACTCAGAGACTGCTGTCTACACTCACAGAGGTGTGTCTGTGTGTGACTGCATTTACATTTTTGTGTGGGCTGCTAATCTGAAAAGAAGAAGAAAAAAAACGTTTTATGTTTTATAAGGTAGTATCACCAAATTGTGGAACTAATTGGCTCACTGGTATCTGCGGTCCACTTGTCAGTCTGACACATGGCATTTACTGGATTCATTCAGTCTGTGTTGGTGTTTTGACTGCAGTCAACAAATTTGTAATGATTGCATGTAGGAGGTTAATTCATCTATTAGCAATATTATATTGGATTATGTGTTATTGCTGTTGATTTATTGTATAATTGGTTGGTTTAATAATATAGCTGTTGGCATGCTTTCAAATTAATAGGCTTGCTATCTGTTCTTTGGTAAGTGGACTTGTCTTCTTCTCACTACCTGTCCTATAAAAGCATTTTAAACTAGATTATTGAATATGTGCTCTTCATATAATATAAGAGCTTACATTTTCGCTGTATAAATCTACCCACTGCCTTTCAGCCTCATGACTTTCACAAATCACAAGCCCAGAATCGTTTGAAGTAAATTTCTTACTATAATTAAATATTTAATGCAATATCAGTTGAATAAAAGGTGTAAATTTCCGCCTGTTCTTTCTCCGAATGAATGCACTGTAAAACTATATAAGCAAACTAAATCAATGTGTTTAATGCATTTTAAATCAAGAGATGTACCAGTAAGCCCATGCATTTAGCAAGAAATGAATATGAATGACAAACCAGTTCAAAGTAAATAAACTCATGTGGCAACAAGACAGCTGATAGTCAGTCAAAAGAGAGAGAAATTCGGTCACTGCATGCCAGAACAAACCAATTGATTGACCAGAAACCAAAAGATACGCCAGTTGACCAATCATCCGTTGTTCTTCGCAGGCCTCACAGTGGTGTGATGCTGTGTCAGCCTCCCCGGGGCCCCCCACTGCCTCTCCACTGGCTTCCCTCCCACCAATTCCACCTTCACGCTTCCAGGATGCCCGGGCGCTGGCTCTCGAGCTGGGGGGCGGGCCACTGCTGGAGTTATGGTCCCGCACATTGGAGCGGTACCAGCGCACGCTGGCTCAGTTCAAGACGCGACTGCTGCAGGCTCCGCCCCCAGCCCCGCCCCCACCCCGGCCAAAGGCCGCCTCATCCTCCAGCATGTGGGACCTGCTGAACGCGGATGGGGAGATGGAGGGCGAGGGGGATGGGGACTGGGGAGGCCTGCAGTCCTGGGGGTCCCTAGCGTCACTCTTCCGCCCACAGAACTGCTCAACGCTAAAGATCGGAGAGGAACGAAAGAAAGATGGAGCGGCAGGAGGGGGTGGAAAGTTCCTGCAGGCGCTGTTGCATCCAGCCAAGAAGAGCGTGAGTGTTTGTGCATGTGTGCAAGAGAGACTGAGACTGTGAATGGTCCCATAGCTATTTGTAGGGGAAAAATCATTTAATCAGTAAAGTTCATATTTTGTAAATTACTATTAGCTGATTGATATCTGTCTTTGTTAAGGGCTCCATTCTAGATTGGATTGATTTGATGATTTTTTGTGAGGCATGCATGAGTTTTAGGGGGTAACTGATATAGCATAATGCACAGCATATAAATCGTATTTACTGATGCCTAAACTATATAAAATTTGATTAACTGGTGAATCTAATTTATTTATTATTTAATGTGTTGGTACTCATATATTCATATACAGCTCTGGAAAAAAATAAGAGGCCACTGCATATTTCTTAAGAATCTGCATTGTTAAATCCTGGTTTAATCCTGGTTCTGCTGGCAGAAGGCTATGCTGAGCAGAAGGTCGCTACCAGGCTCAAAGTTTCTAAGACCACAGCACACATGAACGAGGTGAAGCAGGAAACACTGGCAATGATCAAAAACCAGCCAGGTAGAGGGCAGAAGCGACTTTCTAATGCCACAGATGACTGTTAAATTATCTGACAGTTTCTCTCTGACTCTGTCATCCTATGAATCGGAGGATGACATCAAGTGACCTTCAAAAAAATGGGGAACATTAAGTGCAGGTGTGAAGTGCACTGCTAGGGTCATTCATATCAGGCTCCTAGAAGCAGGACTGAAGTCCCATAAATCAAGGAAGGGGCCCTTCATCAAGGAGAAGCAGGGAAGAGCCAGGCTGGAGTTTGTAAAACAAATTGCATATTTTACACAGAAGCGTAGCCATAAATTTTGAAATGAGTGAAACTAAAAATGTCGCTGTGGTCTCTTAATTTTTTCCAGAGCTGTGTATTGGGTTTCTGATGAATCTGTTAGCTGATATTTACTTGATACTCAGCATGTAAATATGTGTTTGTTAGTAAATGTTTTGGTTGATTATAGTGTTTTTCCTGATTGGCACCTATAATGATGTGTATTGTCAATTAACATTGTTATTGTCTTTAACTGGTTCTTTGTTAAGCTGTTTGTCATACTTCTTGTTTTCTGTCTCCTTAGCCACCAGAAGCTCCTCTTCCTCCCAAGCCCCCCCGTAAACGTCACCCCAGCTTCGACCTGCAGGCTTTGCTTGCCCCGCGCCGCACCCCCACTAATTCCCGGCCAGCGGAGATACCTGGAGCAGCCAGTCGAAACTCACCCATGTCCTGGTTGGGTCGCAAGACGCTGGTTGACCCCATCCTCAATACCAGCATGGCCGCCGCCCTCCCCGTGGGTGGGGCGGCAGTGGGGGTCGGGAGCGTGCTCATCCGAGGGGTGGAAGTCAGTAGCAAGGAGGTGGTGGACCACACAGGATCGCCACGGCAGCATGTGCTTCTGTTCAGAACTGAGAGAGAAACTGGGGGAGAAAGACAGGGAGCCACCACCCAGAGGTAAGGCGGAGCTTCAGTGGCCCCCTAAAGCAGGGAATCAGCTAATGCTTTGACCCTGCAGAGAGTAGGCCAACACATAATCCAGCTAAAGATAATGACCTTCAGCCTAATAGTGAGTAGGCCAACACATAATCCAGCTAAAGATAATGACCTTCAGCCTAATAGTGAGTAGGCCAACACATAATCCACCTAAAAATAATGACTTTGACACAGAGAAGGTCAAAAGAAACTGTATCTTACTTATGAACACATGTAATACTTTCAACTTCATACATTAATCCTCTTCTGCTTCTTTTCCCTTTCAGTAAAATCTATCACCTTTGGTGTGGGCTTCTCAGTTCTGAGAGGCAGTATGTGGCTGTGCTGAAAGGCGTGGAGGAAAGCTACCAGCCCCTGTTAGACTGCCCCGAGACCCCCGCAACCCTCCGAGGAAAGTGGGAGACCCTCTTTTCCAACTGGAGCAGTCTGAGCTCTTTCCATGCACAGCACCTCCTCCCTAACATGGAAGGTGCTCTCACACAAACTCTGCTCCTGCAAGACAGTTTCTGTAAATTTGTAAGTGTGTCACGCAAATATATTTCTAAGTATAAGCACATAGTCTGCGTTTGTGATATATGGTTATAATCTAATAGTTGATATTCTTCTCATGGGTATGTTTCTTTCCTAAAATGCACGAAGAAGGAGGAGTTCCTTCAGTATTCCCACTACATCAGGACCAGGCCAGACCCGGACTCAATGCTGGTCAGTCAGGCCTCAGATTTCTTCAAGGTGAGAGTTTTTGTCTGTTCTGATTTCTTGTACATTGTAAGCTGAGAGCGAAGCATGATTAACTATACTCTGCAATATACTGATCTGGGTGTCATATGCTAAAAATCTAGAAGCAGCAAGTTGTTTTAAATCTACTTTAGAGGCAGTACAATAGAAGCAGTACATACTGCAACATAATCTGACTGATATTAGTTATGTGCTTACAAACAAAATGAGTATCTCTAATCAACTGTACTCAAAATATTTCTTATTGACACGCAATATTTAATTCTCTTAGACGCAAGTAGTTCATAAATGTTTATCATTACAACACTTTGTTTCATTTTAGAAATAGAATTAAATCAGAATTTCATTGAAGCTTAAATGAAAGCACAGTTGCGGTGAAAGTTCGACGACTGTAAGTCGGGCTTGGAGAACTAAAAATGATCTTCAGTGCCAATGATGCCTATTTTTTCTGATTCATGCGCTACCCCTAACCCCGCATCCGGCATGCTGTCCGCAGGCCAAGCTGCCCGCACTGTCCCCCCTTTCCCCCCTGGCCTTCCCACAATGCCTGACGGCACCCACACAGCGACTGGCTCAGTACTGCGAGGTCCTGGAGGACTTGGGCAGTCTCAACAGTGCCTCAGAGGCGGCACTCTCTACGCTCAGGCTCATCCAGCGACACGGCGAGGACCTCCGCGCCAGCGATCTTATCGTAGGATGCCCGGTGAGACTGCCCGATGCCCAATGCCAACGTCCTGTCTGATGTGGCTGCTTTTCAGTACCTGTGTTAGTAGATGATTTTTGGGCAGAATTGAGAGAATAGAATGCCAACCAAAATGTTTCGTTGAAGTCAGGAAACTGTAATTTTATGTCTACAGCTATATTCACAGTTCTTTCTCATGGCTCAGTATAGTTGAGTGGTGTGCTCTCTCACTCTTATATATCAGATATAGTGTATAGCAGTTTGAGGTGTTAGATGTGTTAAAGGCTGTGATGTACTGTATGTTGTTTTGCATAGATGGTAATACAGTATAAATGGCTCAGATGTGACACCTGTCACTCCCAGTAGTGTGACTGGCATGTTATTTGTCACTCAGTCCCCGTGCTCCTTGCTCATTTATGACAGGTTTGTCCTATCTGGCACAGGTGTGAGTGATTTTCTTCTGGTTTGACAGGCACGTTATCGCCTACTGCTTAGAAGCCATATATTGTCTGGATGGAGTTTGTGACGTTGACGTTTGTCATGTCAGGTTCCCTTGGCAGACAGGGGCGAGCTGGTCCGCCAGGGGGAGCTCCTGGTTTGTGGAGCCGCCCGGCGAAGGAAAGCAGGTCTGCGCACCATCTTCCTCTACCAGCATTATCTCATCCTCACCAAGACCAAGAACCTCAGCCTGGGCCGCACGGTGCACAGCTTCAAGCACAGCCTTAAGGTACAGTCATGCAGAGCCGGGGCCTTTATTGTGGAGCATGCGGTTACACAGCTACATTGTGTAAATATATTCTCTGTCTAACAGGTGGGGGAAATGGGACTGACCCAGAGTCTGGGGGAAGAAGGCGTGAAGTTTGAGGTGTGGGTGCGACAAGCCTCCCGTACGCGTGACTGCCTCACCCTGCAGGCACCGTCACCTGATGAACGAGTGGCCTGGACTCACGACATTGCTCAGCTGCTCTGGACTCATGCCATCCACAACACGGGTAAGCCACTCACCCCTTACCCCGACTGACCTTCCTGTGAAGTATACTACCTGCATTTCTCGCTGTTTTAGCTATTATGTTATTAAGCTCACAGTCAAAGTCCCCGAAGGAATAAAGTAAAACATATCAAATAGGCCTGTCACGATAACAAATTTTGCTGGACGATAAATTGTCCCAGGAATTATTGCGATAAACGATAACATCGCAGTGACGACATGTACGCCAGTGTGAAATACGGCTCACTTGCTTCCGGTTTGAGTAACGATGAGCATGACTATGAGCACAAGAAAGGGTAAACTTGTGTTTCAGAAGCTAAAAAAACAATAATAATAATTTCCTAAGTGCACCACGTCCTCAAAATACAATCGAGTTTTAAGTTTCCACGCAAACCTCTGGGAAATTCAGCAAATCCAACATATTTATACTCACGTTTCATATAATTTATTGCCACATTTTACTTTACCGCTTATAGTAACACGTCTGCCTGGGCAAAATTGATAATTATAATCGGATGATCATCATAACCGATTTTCTCTTCTTCATGTCTCAGTCTAATTGACACGTGTATATTTCTTACATGAATAATAGGTAATAAACCGGACAGCGTCACTAATTTTGATTGCAAAATATAGTACAACCGTTTCAAACGCTTTTCAAATTACAGTACTGTACAAATTAAATTACTGAATTGTCTATAATTAAAATACGCTATATAATACAGTACCTAAATATGCAATTTTATTTATACAGCGTATTTTCACAACATTGTCTGAAAGAGTTCGCTGCAGCATCTCCGTGGCTCATTTTATGGCGGTTTATCATAAGCTTTGATGAGTCTATACAACACAAATCTGAATATTGAACAGCTTTAATTAGAACTCTGACAAATTACCAGCGCTGCCATACTTCTACACTATGATGTTTGTCGTGCTTCTTCATGGATCTGAAGCAGCAACCTCTCCTGTTCCCGTGTTTCTGTTTGACACTAAGAATAGCAAAAACAGATTAACGCAATGTGTACTTAAGCACATATAGAGCATACTAAGTTAAACATTCTCCGCTAGAATGACTGGGGATGTTCATAGTTACTTCATTGCCACATTCATACACTATCACTGTCCGAGAGTAACGTCTAATAGCGTAAGCTATAGCTAACGCAACCCACAAAGTTGAACGAATAAGACTCCCCTTCGTATCCATGGATGTAAGACAAGGCAAACATCTTAAAGCCCTTCTCTAATTTACTCGTAGGTACTTTGGAGAGGGATTTACAAAAGCGATGTACGTCGTTGATCATAAGTTTGGGCAAGTCCTGTAAACGGCATGTATAAACCAATGCCATTTTTCACATACCGGAAATGAGCGAGCCGCATTTCCATGAACGTGGAAGCTGACGTGCAAAGAGCCCACTGACACTGAGTTCACGCCTCATTACTAGTGATGTGTTGTTCGCGAACGAGACGGCTCTTTGAGCCGACTCTTTTTAGTGAACGATGGGAGCCGGCTCCTGTTCAAGAGCGGTTTTATTAATGTTTATAGAATTGTCCGGGTTTTTGAGCTGCCTAAACATTAAGGACGACTGTGACCGGAACACGTTGTCTTCCGAAAAAGCCCGCCCACGAGTCGGCATCTTATTTTTAACAAGCTCAAATCAGGTCACGCTAATCAGCATCAGGTTAAACGAAGAGAGCGGCGGGTTTTTTAAAAAGAGTCGATTAGGAGCCGAAAGAGCAAGTTCTTCTTGGTGAGCTGAGACAAATGAGCCAGTTTGCTAAAAAGAGTCGATATTCCCATTTGGTAGAGAGAGACACAAGGAAAACAAACAAGCATGCAAATGAAAATTATCGCGGCCGGAAAAATTATCGACCTCATTTTAATTATCGTGCAATTAATTGATTTATCGTTTATCGCAACAGGCCTAATATCAAATATTGCTGCACCCAAGAGAAGTGCTCAACATCTAAAGATGTTCTCAAATTTTAGACTCTTCAAACTAGCCCCGTTTTGCGTCGCAACAGCTTCCCAAACTCTCAGCATTCTTTCAACCAACTTCCAGATGTAGCCACCTGGAATGCTTCTCCAGCAGTTCTGAAGGAGTTTCCATAAGTTCTGGGCACAAGTTGGCTACGTTGCTCTTTCCCTTTGATACTAATCATCCCAAAGCAACTCTATATGGTTTAGGTTGGGGGGTTGTGGGGGCCAGCTCATCTGCCGCACCACTCAATCAGTTTTCTTGTTCACAAGAGACTCACTATATATCCTCAAGGAGTACTTCAGGTGATTAACTTGTCGAAAAACAAACGATTTTCTGTAGGTGTGTCCCGACTTTTGACCGGTACTGTATTTTTGCCCATATTTGCTTATTCTCCTGTCTCAGCCCTCATCCCACATACTTCCTAACCCTTCACTTTTCTCCCCAGAGCTGTGCTTGAAGGAGAGTCTCTGCATGGGGGTGTCTAGTAAACTTCTGCTTGATGTGACTGGAGCGCACAGCGCGTCTGAGTTAGACTCTGGATACTCCCTCAATGACAGAGGTACATCACAACTGCACACACAAAAATAGAAAATTACGGATATAGGCGCAACAGTCATCAATAATTTATGCAGCTACTTGTTACATGTGCTGAAACTGGACAGGTGCTGCAATTTTTGTTTCTGCCACCAGGGGTCTCTCGGTAGCCTATCCCTCTGTGGCGTGTACATATATTTCTCTGTTGTGGTTCTTTTTTTTATCATTCAGACACACAAATTCATTTGTATTATAAGTCCTTAATTATAACATGAATACTTTTCAAATCACCTACAAAAGTGGCTTAGTGCTTTGATTAGTAACAGTCCTTTGCATTTCCCCTCCCTCTGAAAGCCTCTCTTTATCTCTCTCTGTCTCTCTCAGTTCAGAGCAGCTGCTCAGACTCCTCCTCAGTAGGAAGTCATAAGGAGGGGGGGTCGCCAGCTTCAGGAAGGGATTCACAAATAAATGTTGGACAAACAGGACAAGAACAGGTATGTTAGAGAACACGCACATATGTAGGCAGAGGCAGACATTTCAGGTCCAGAAAGCAAAAATCCAAACCAGGATTTTGTTTCAACCAACCAGTTGAGCATAAAGAGTCACAGTCACAGAGTGGTCAACTGGTTGGTTGGAACAAAATCTTGGTCTGGATTTTACTTTCTGGACCTGAAATGTCTGCCTCTGCATGTATGTAAAACACACGGCTATATACACTCACAAAGGTAGGTTCTTTCAGAGAACTGAGTGAAATATAAACATACAGTCATTCATTTGATAACACTGTGATGTAAACACACAATGCACACACAGATATACACAAATATGCTCCCAACAACCATATACATGCATGCATTTTTTTTTTTTTACTTCTGTGTGATGTTAATTTCCTGTGTGTTACAACAGAACTCATCTCCCTCCACCGCTGTGTAATCCTTAACTCCACAACAACCGTGAGTCTAGTTTAAATCACCTCATCCCTCTCCGTCCTCTACTCCACTCCTTCCTCTCATTACACATCCTGTCCTGTACTGCCTTCCGCCTTTAGATAGAGACTGAGCCGCTGAAATCCACACTGTAGTACAATGGTCATACCATAAGAAAGTCCCTCACAAGCCATGGAATATAACCCTGTTTCTCTTTCAGTCCTCTTTCCGTTCTCATTCCTTTTTAAATTTCCTTCTATGTGCATTCTTGTCTGGCTTTGTCCTTAATTCCCTTGTCTCTCTCACTGTCTGTCCTGCAGCCCCTGTTCCACAATATATATTGTGGAATGAATCAAACTGGAAATGGCTGGAAAAGAGGAGCGAAAGGCGATTGGTGGGAAGCAACACTGGAAGCGCTAAAAACCACCGAGCTCCCCCCAGTGGTCGCCATTTTGGTTGTACGCATCACAGTTGCTCAAGTGCCAACTGAAATTGGAGCCTTATCCCTGCACTGGCATCTCATTGTTACTGGTCCAATTAGAAGAGAAAATTCTGTTGCCACTGGTCTCCGGGTCCATTAACTGGTTCACTGGACAGAGCTTTTATTTTGTGTTTATATCAACACCTGTTACAGTAAATGTTTGCACAACAGGAAAAGGCCAGGCCAGGAAACTACAGAGAAGATTGGTAACTCTAGTGCTGCTTGTCAGCTGAGGAGGTAGATGTAACAATGGTCCTAAAAGGACCTATGTATAAAGATCTGTCACAAACAGAGCAAACAGCCACATCCAAAAGAGATAAGGATCAATACCACGACACTTACTAAGCACATTAGAGTGCAGCTTTTATTGTCGTTCCCCGCAGCCCATCTCTGGTAAATGTCCGGTCTTACAATAAGTAAACGAATGCTCAGACTTCGAAACACAGAGAAAATAGTGCCTATTGCTGTGTGATATTTTCCACCACAGCACTGAGGAATAACTCTTGTAACTTTCCTAGTGATCGGGAATCGCATGCGAGAAGGAGCCCAAATCTTCAGCGTGCTTCCTAATGAGAGGGCAGGCCGGGAAGCCTTGGGCAGGCCTCCTCCTCTTGCTTGTAGGCACCCAACAAGACCGGTTTCATCCAGACTGATAAATTTGTATATTACAAAGATCCTGACTTCTTCTCTGGTTTCTTACCAATGAAGCATAAAATGTCAATTAAAGAAAGAATGAAAATTGGACTGGAACGAGAGCTGTCCATAAAGCCGACTGTGAAGGTTGTTTTGTGCACAGAGTGCATGGAAAAGTGGGATGCTGAGGATAGTGTTACCTGTAATAATATTTTTGATTGAAGGACAGAAAATATTGGGTTTCTTTTTTTTTTTTTTTTGCAGCTGAAGAAACAAAACCAGTTTTTGCTGATGTATTTACTGCTTTATAAAGCAGTAAATATACAAGGTGACGGAAAAACAAATATCTGCTAGACTTGAAGTTTTTCGTTAGGCTCATTCTAGCTAAGCCCAGGGTTTTGCAAAACTTTTGAAAGAATTCTTTAAAATAGTTTGTATATGTGCCTAAATGAACAGTCAAACCAAAGGAAAAATAATCAAAATAAAAGAGAATGTACACAGGTGGTAGCACAATAAAATCATTGTTATTGATAATTACTGAAAACAGAACAGACTTCTACCCTTGTTGTATTTATCCATATTTTGGTACAGACATTGAAAATGGAGGTCTGCCAACCTGCTTACAAAGCACATTGTACCGTTTGTCAACAAACGGAATTCAGCAGATGTGGCTTAGCTGCTGACAACTGGTTATGTCATGAGGTTATTTTTTTTCTCAACCACCATTTAACAGTGTTGTTTTGCTGAATATTATCGTAGTACTGAACATAGCTGTATTCGAGTAACACTGAACAGAGCAGTGTTAGCATAGTATATCGCTACAGTGCAGCAGTATTGATGTAGAGTCTAACACAGTAGTATTAGCATAGCGTAGCTATACCTTGAGCTGCATTATTAACCTCAGTACATTGGGGAGCAGCCCAGAGGATTTGACTATATGGTAGAAGCATACACATCGGTACAAGAACTACAAATGTCAGTAACATTTTTGTGCACTGTCTTGTATGGATGCAGTGCAGAGTCCTGCAGTGTTTGACCCACTCCCAGCCCCCCCTCATTGTACTAATGGATATGACCATCCTTGAGAGGCACTAACTCTCCTGCTGTGTGTGACCTGTTCAGAGTTCTTCCTGTTTACCTGCAGTATTTAATCAGCTCTGAGCTCTTCTTACTCACCAGCAGTGTAACAGTCTCTGGGGTCTGCTTGTTAACCAGTAGGGTTTGAGTTGCTGCTTAAAGTGAGGGAAATAAACTTGCTCAAATTGTGGAGGTATTTAAATTTAAATTGGAAGTTTGCAAAAAAATTGGAATGGCAGAAAAGCACCAATAATTGGCTGTATGCAGAGAAGTACCAATAACCGGCAATATTATGTTACTCTAAAATCGTACTCTCCATTTTTGTTGTTGTCATCACAGTCAGTAACTGTAAGTTGTTAAATTCCAGAAAATTTGTCAAAGTACAAAGATTTTCTGATAATATCTGAGGTGGATTCCTACCTTCAGAAATTTTTTCAAAGTACACAGATTTTCTGATAAAATTTGGGGTGGACTCCTACCTACAGAAAATTTTTGAAAGTAAACAGATTTTCTGATAAAATTTGAGGTAGATTCCTACTACAGTAAAAATGAGGAGTAACGTTTGAATAACTGATCAGATATTATCTTGTAATGTACCCATCATTTGCATTTTCATGTATCCATCATTTCAGAAAAATAATTAGCCAATATGTGCCTTATTTAGCTATATTTAAGGAGCTTTACTGCAGATTACATTTTATTTTAATCATATTCAGTGTAAATATGATCTGTTGCTTAATATCCTTTGTTCCTATTCAGTTGTTTTGTTATATATATATATATGTCTGTGTTTACATTTTAAAACATTTTGTCAGTCTTTTGACAGAATGTTTGCATGTGATAGTCTGCCTGAAAATTTGTTCTGTATTGTCTTCAGTTTAAACTGGAAATCCAAACTGGGAGATGGAATGTTAAAGAAGTAATTAAAATAAAGCGAAATTTCTTCTGATGTTATAAGCAAACAGTTACATTTAACTCTAACTGCACAGAGTTGGATCTAACTGCACAACAAATACATTCTATGCTATCCTGCGTTCTGTAAAAAATATTATTTAGAGTTTAAAGTATTTAGGGTGGGGTGCCATAGTTTAAAAATGTACAATACATAACTATATATAAATATGAGATGGCAGGAAGCATTTTATTTCAGACAGCACAAGACTGGGGGTTTACTGTCAGAGGTCATTGTAGGGACACTAGGGGCCCCAGGCAAAAAACTCCAGGGGCCCCCCGATGCACCCCACCCGGCATGGTAACATTTATGACCATTATTTTAGCGTGAAGTTTAAATTAATAATATCCACAAAGAGAATTTAATAAATACAATTCCTTTGTTTTTACTTTACTGCAAAAAACAGAATACGCAAATAAAGCAGATTTGTCGTTGCAATGTACTACAGTATGTAATCAGCCCAGCTTGGGGGCCCCAGGCAATCGCCTGCCCTGCGACTTCTGTCCCTACACCCCTGTACACCCTGGATGAGATGTTCATCATACGGCTGATGCACACAATACAATTCATTGGGTGATTTTTTTTGTTTTTTAAAGACACCTGCTAGCCTGACTGGAATATTCCTTGGGCTGCAAGGGCTGCAACCAACACAAAAACAGGGAGAACATGCAAACGCTGCACACACCGTGTGGGGCTGGGATTCAAACCTACAAAAATGAAAGTGTGAGGCAACAGGTCTACCCACTGAGTCACCGTACCACCCTCGGTCAGTACAATTTAAGCAAATTAAGCAATATCATATCAGTAAATACTATTGTCGTACACTACAAGATTAGATGTATAAAGATAATAAAGCAAACCAACCCCTAATTTAGAGGCTTCTGCATGCTGGGCAACAATAGGGCTTTTCTTAATGTCATGTAAAAACACCTGTATGTGTGTAGGCAGTGAATTTCAAATAGGAAGACTGAAAGCATTAACAATCACTCGGAACTCTGAATGTTCTTATGAGGTCAGGTTCGTCAGTCGTAAAGAAGTAGAATGTGCATCATCTCCCAAACGTGGCCAACATCAGACAGGAAGCGAGGTGGAAAGGGACGCCTCTGTCTGGCCTACAGCTGTTTAGAAAGACAGAGTTCTTAATGTGAGTGACACTGTACAACAATGAAGAGCCCTTAACTATCATGTGTTAATGAGGTGATGCGAAATATTGAGAAGATATTTCACAATGTTGAAGAAGATCAGAAAGTTGAATGATTCATAATTGGAAGTTAGAAGAGATGATTTCAAGAAGACTTACATTAGTAAGGGTGGCCAAAGCTGTCCCTGCCAGATATCATTTTTTTATGTGAATACTTTTTAAAATCTTTGGTATTTGCTTGCATTTACTGTGTAATTCAACATCCTAGAATACTTTAAGCCACTCTACAGTAAAGATGAAATACTTTGTCATTTTTATGACAGGTAATCCTTAGCTACTTAAGGAAGATAAGCAGGTGTGTACTCTGTTACATTGATACCCTGTGTTTTAATCCCTATGCTATGGTCAATTTCAAATTGCATAGATTGCATAAAAGGTGTCATGTCTTAACTGCTTAATTTTTGCCACAAAAAAAATGCTGATTCTGTGGCCAGGCGCTTATATTCTTGGGAGAGGTTTGCTGGTCCCTTCCCATTTTCTACCCCCATCGTGTTTACAGGTGCTGCACTACCAGTCACAAGCATTTAACCTGAATCTCATGAGACTTTGCAGCAGTTTTCTTTCCAGTACTGGCCTGAAACCCAGGAAAAAGACATATCAACACATGTTACCCATCAGAGCTGTGCACCACTGTAACAGTGCTTATCCTCTAATTTAGTAAATGTCTCAAATTCAGGAAAGTTACACTGACAATAAGGTTTCATTAAAGCTCTTAATTCCTTTAAATAATTATACTGATATCGCATCACCTGATGTTTCAAATTTCAGCTGAACACTAAACAAATCATACTCTGAAAGACCTACAACTGCGGCTCTTGAGACCTGGAATTTCTTAACCCCATGAGTAAATAATAACTGGAACAAGCAGTTAGGTCTTAGTAAATAGTAGCAGAAAGCTCTCCGGACCACAGTCTGCCAAAAGTCTGATCCTCAGGTTCTCCTTGTCGCTGTTAATTCCAGCTCCTCACTATGCGCATTGACCACTTTCTGCCTAATCCAAACCCTTAGGAATTTGGAAATGTTAAAAGATCTATGCATTCTCTCCAGTGACTGTGTGGTGTCCAATCAGCATGAGGTGTGATCTTAAGCCTGTCCCACAAAGCACGGGGAATTAGACACAGGCATCAACAATGTTCATAAACATTTTATAGCTTTACCAATAGGACATACATATGTGTTTATTGTCAGAGATTCCTCAGAATATGATTGTTTCCGGAAAACCCACGAGACAGGAAAGACATGCTTGTGAGTAGAAAGATCAAACAGTCAGACGAAGGGAAAGTAATAACGAAAGAGGGTGTCAATGGAAAATGGGTTGGAAAGAAAATGGGGGGAAGTCAGAGAGAAAGGGGAAAAAGAGGCACGAAAGAGTGACAGGACAGCAAGAGGGGGAAAACTGAGAGAGAAAAGGATCAGACTGAGAGGCACAGAGAGGGGAGGAGTGGGGGGAAAGAAGGAGGACAGAGCAATCAGAGGGAGGGAGAGAGGGGCAGACAGAGAAGGAGAAAGGAGGAGAGAGGGGGTAGATGGGGAGAGAGAGGGGTAAGGGGGATGTTGACAAAGCAGAGGGAATGTGGAGAACAAAGAGAACGTGGAGAGAATGAGACGGGTGAAACATCAAAGGGATTTTTCGGGACTGGTTACCGGGACAACAGACATTTGCATGCGATTAGCTTTTTACATCATATTGGCGTGTGTGTGTGTGTGTGGGGGGGGGGGGGGGGGGGGGGGGGGGGGGGGGGGGGGGGGG